GCCGAGGGTAACAGCGAACCTTCCAACAACTGACGTGCAGGCGACAGGTGGGAATTCCCTGAAGGTGTGGAATTGGCAGATCCAGCATTCTTCAATTCCAAGGCAGTGGATATGGTACTCGGAATGCAGTATTTCTTCGCCTTCTTCAATACAGGTAACGAAATTTAGTTGGGAAATGGATTTCCCACACTAACGGAATCGGTACTCGGCTGGGTGGTATCTGGTTTGGTGAAAACTGATCACCCAAATTCAAGGTTCTCCTGTAACATGGCGGTTACAGATAGTATGGATTATTCACCAACGGAGGTAAAGTGCGAGGAGCACTATAGACGTGGTACAGATGGTCGATATACAGTCTCACTTCCGAAGGACGGAACCGTGCAAGCTAGGACGGGCGAATCAAGGTATATCGCATTCCGCCGTCTCCAAGGGATAGAACGACGATTGCTTCGAGAACCAAAGCTGCGGGAACAGTACGACAAATTTATGGAGGAATATTTGGAGTTAGGACACATGCGCAAGGTGGACGCTACTGCCGAAGGAGATGTAATTCGGTGCTATCTACCTCACCATCCCGTAGTTAAGGAAAGTAGACCACTACAGGAGTTTCGCTCAACGATACGCTGCTGGCAGGGCCAGTAATTCAGGATGAACTACGTGCTATGATTTTGCGATCTCGGATCAAGAAAAATCTGATGGTAGCTGATGTGGAAAAGATGTTCCGTTAAATTTGGGTAGACTGGTTGGATGTGGTACTTCAATGCACGCTATGGCGCAAGGATTTCAATGGCAGAGCCGAAACCTACGAGCTCTGTACGGTTACTTACGGCACGAAGCCAGCACCGTATTTAGCAACGCGAACCCTTAAACAGCTGGCGATGGATGGAAAATGCGGGTGAGGATGATTAAGAAACCGCAAGGCAGCTTCGAATTCAACTCGATCAGATGATGGAGAGCGGAGGATTCCGTTTGAGGAAATGGGCCTCTAACTCAGCTGTTGTACTGGAAAGCATACCGGAAGACAATTTAGCGCTATCGAAAGAGGGAATTAAACTCGATCCAGATCCAGCTGTGAAAACTTTGGGACGCTTGTGGCTGCCAACAAGCAACGTCTTCAAATTCCAATTCAAAACCCCAGAGATCAGCGAGAATGAGCAGTTGTCGAAACGGAAATTATTATCCATGATCGCAACTCTCTTCGATCCTCTTGGATTGATAGGTGCAGTTATAGTAACGGCGAAAATGTTCTTGCAGCGTCTATGGTGCTTGATGGATGAAGAAGAAAGGAAGCTAGAATGGGATCAACATCTAGCGCCCAAGGAGTGTGAAGAATGGCTGAAGTTTCACAGACAAATCCCGCTATTGAACGAAACACCGATCAAGCGTAGTGTCGTAGAACCGAAGGCAACATCCGTTTAGGTGCACTTCTTCTCCGATGCTTTCAAGTTGGCATACGGAGCATGTTCATACGTTAGAAGCACTGACGTTTCAGGGAATTGCTGCGTTGCGTTACTGCGTTACGCAAAGTTCTTGAATTTAATTTTGGTACCTACAGTACTGGACAAAATAAATCAAACGCTCAACCCAAGAAAGAACATTACATCATATTGTTGCTATTTGCACGCAATTTCAGCAGTATATTCAGAAAAATTCAAGTATTTCTCATGGTGCATTCAATTAGCTGAATGAAAATTGTTTTAATATTCTGCTATTTTTGTTACAAATTTAAGTAAATATATGCTCACTTTTGTGCTTGGACAAAATAAATCATACACACCTAAGATTTTATTTTTTAGCCATCGAATAAAAATAAAATCTGAAGATTTGGCATCACAGCGTTATATTTGACAGTTCTTGTTCCGGGAAGCGTGCGCATCGCACCATTGTGTTTTGTTTGCGTCATTTGAAAAGTGAAAAATGTCGGGTAAGCAGATTTCGCTCGATGTTAGAAATTTGGTGATTCGCGATCGTGAAAAAGGATCGTGCGACAAGTAATCGTGATGACATCAAAATTGTTCAAATGGCTAAGCAGAATCCGAAGTATTCATCGAGGCATATTGTGGAATTGATGGATCTCAATGTAAGTCGACGTACTGTTCGCCAGCGACTTAATGAGAGCGGTTTGAAAAGCTGTTTGGCATCGAAACGTCCTTTTATCAACAAGCGGAACCAACGGAAGAGACTGGAATTTGGTAAAAAGTACGTCGGAATCACTGTGGACTTCTGGAAACGAGTTCTGTGGACGGATGAGAGCAAATTTGAGTTATTTGGAAGTTGCGCCACTGAAAACTGGCCTGGAATCCAATTACATTTTTCAAATCAAATCGGATCAAAACGCTGGAATGGCCTCCCCAATCTCCAGATTTCAACCCAATTGAGAATTTATGGTCTTACTTGGACAACAAAGTGGATAAAGCATCGGTTTCCAACAAAAACGTTAATTTTGAAGCACTTGAAGCAGCGTGCAAGAATATCGATTCAGGATATCTACAAAACCTCATCGAAAGTATGCCAAGACGGTTGGAAGCAGTGTTGAAAGCAAAGGGTGGTTATACCAAATACTGAGTGTGTTTAAAAGTAAGTTGAAAATTGAATTAAACAAGAATTTTCAATAAGAAATCAGGCGTATGATTTATTTTGTCCAACTCGAAATTCTCCTTTTACAACTTATAAATGATGATTGAGAAAGTCACATAATATATTGAATATTCTATACCTGCACAATTTTAGCGAAAAACATACAGAAGTATTGCAGAACAAACCATTATTGTATTGTTGAATCTACCTGATATATTGAGCTCCAATGAAAAATTATATGTCGGTGATTGAATTTGTTGATTGGTTGGTTGTCTTTATTAAGGAGATTTTCAACCAGACGCATGTGATTTAATTGATTATTGAATATGGAAGATTTGAAAAAATCTAGTTACAAAATTCATGGAATTATGTAACTCGTAGAATTACCGACCATTTCTTAAATTGAGATCATTAAAATCCTTTAGAGATTCGGAAAATATGTAATAACATTACAAAATGCTTGCAAAAACGATCATTGCTTGTTCAAAATCAGGCTCACCCAAGCTTGTTTTGAAATAAATAGTTTCGCTATAATAGGTCATATTATTGAACAAAGAGAATGCACTTCAATCATGTCGAACATATCTCATGTAGTTTTTATGGCCACAAAAATAAACAAATGCAGTAAAAGCAGCGTAATGTCAGTTCATGCACTGTATTAATGATAATTTTGGCAAATAATATTACACCATATTTTTGACATGATTGAAGTGCATCCACTTTGATGCATATCAAAAATTAAATTTTTACTGTGTTAACAAAACAAAAAAAAATCCACTGACCCCTTCCTTTAACATTTTTTAACTACGCCAATGACTACACACTTTGAAATACCTAATCTTACACGTGACGGAATCCATATATGACATAAAGGATGAGACGTAAACAAACATGTCATGTAAAATTAAGTGCTCCGAGATTGAAAAGTTCGAAAGTACGTATGTACGCTGAATTTCGAGTCTATTATGACTCAACTTTATGTCAAAATGTACGCTCTTAGAGCACTTAAAATTACATCAATTTTTGCACAACCTTTTAACCAAAAAAAAACCTCAAATAACTCAAGCAACGGTATATACTTTTAAAACAGAGAACAACCTTCTTCCAGTCAACCAAATGGTTACTGTGTACATACTTCCCCTATGCAAATCACCTTTTCCACCGAGGCATGACCGCAATTTGCAAGATCACGACACCGGAAAAACCGAACACATCTTGCAGAGCCAGCCAAAGCAATAACCGCAACGATAGAAACAAAAGAATCACATCATCGTCGTCATAATCCATCCACATCAACACACATGAAACAAATTTTGTCAATTTTCCTCTTCCCTGCATGGCGGCAAATCTTATCTAATTTCCCCCATTGTTTAATCGTAACTAGCAGTGCCTCATAATTCACTATCAAAACAATTTGCACCTTCAAGCAGAGTGGTGACGAGACGCCACTCAATAAAAATGGAAAACCGCTTATCTCCGCTCGTTTGTGATGCATTTATGGCACAGTGGCATACAGAGATAGAAAAAAAAGCGAAAACTTGCACTTCACAATTATATAACAATAATACAAAAATAGCCTCCAAGAAGAAAACAACAAAATGCAACCCGTACCTACACACACAAATTAAACCAAATCCGTCGGTAGAGGTAGCGGGCGCAGGAAAACAGGTTTTCTCATCTCTTGCTGGGAGCTTGCAAGTCGTTGTAGCCTCCCCCATGGCGAGGGGATCTGCGCTGTGTCGAAGTAGCCGCTTGGGGCACAACTTCCATAATTCAACGAAGACGAAGACGGAAAACCACTACAGCCACTGAGTTGTGTTTTGATTGCGATGAGAAAACCAGTTCTTCGCCAACACACACACAACTGTACTGGCAGCGCTGGAGCCCAGCAGCGCCCAGTTTGGTAGCGTCCCCCCTTTTCTTGGTACTATTGTTGTTGTTGTTGTTGAAGATCGGAAAAGAAGAGTTCACGTCCACCACCATACACCGCGACACAGCATTCCGCACAAATGTGCAGGTGTAGTCGTGTGATGGAACATGGGTGGATACCTTTGCACCAGGGTACTTCGATCCCTCTGCAACCTCATTTGTCCAAAGGTTTTTGGGGGTTTTCTTGGGCGTCAAAATAGCTCATTGTTTCAATTATTTTCGAGTGAAAGTTGCCCTTTTGTATGGAAGACAATTGGATTGACAACGTCAGCCGTTGGAATCGAGATGTCTACCGCTCAAAGCGATGACGTCGTCATCGCTGGGCGTTCCACCCCTTGGCACGTAACAGATCTGACTCATGACTCGCAGGTCGCTATATGCAAATAGCAAACCACTTGCTGATTGGGATTTTCAAATCAGCGGCGTATTTTCTAACCATCGCATTCACATTGGATCATACGACACCTTTTGATATTGATTTTCTTCAAACTCACGGAAACTGGGTTACTCGAAACGATGGTACACACCTTAAATTTAACCTTATTCCGCCCGTTGACACAACTGTGCTCGTTCTGTTCCTTTCCCCACTGTGGTGGTTCTTACTTCGCATTCAGCATACCAAACCGTCCGACAGCAACGTAAAATCGACGAGGGGAATGTATGATAATCACTGCGTACACCGACCAAACATAAAAGAAAACTAAAACAATCAGTCAGTACTAATAAACCGAGGTAGTGGGCAATATATGGTAAAGGTGACGCGAGCACCGAGCGTCGTCAACACGCAACTTGTAACGAACACGGTTCTCTCGAAACTGACGTGCCGAGCTCGCGCGTGTGGTGAATTGAGGCTCCACCACCGCCGCCACAGAAGACTTTTCCAGCACCGCATGCGGAGGAAACGGTCAAGCGAGCTCCCCACCCCTCCGCAGACAAACGCCTAGCATGGTTTACGGTGTAACAACGCCCGAAAACACCCATCGAGCGAGAATCTTTATGCTACAGTGGAACTCACCAGGTGTGCCATGACGAGAGTGGGAGTCGCAAGTGGTGAATTTCCAGTGACTGATCATTCGCTCCCGAGCGATCATTTCAACTCACTCTCTTGTGCTCTTCTGCTTCGCGGAAAGAGCACGATCACCGACTAATTCACCCCCGCTGACTGCAGCTGGGAGGCGAGGTGAATCAATGGAATTAATTATTATTCTCGCATTTAATCATTCAGCGAACACGGGTGCGAATCGTTCTTTTCCCGACGATGAGATTGTGCATACATACTGATGGAGTCAGATTGAGTATTCGGTCAATCGCGAGGTCATATGAAAATGCAATGCATGAGTATTGCATTTCCTGTTCTGATCGTCTGCGGTTCAGTGACGGTGCAAAATATCAACAACTAACCGACAGACTGTATGAGGAATAAAGGAGGATTGGAGTGAGTCGTATATGTTTCATTCCTCGTTGGCAGTCAGTTGCATTGGAAATTCTAATTAAAAACAGTTGGTTCTAAATAATGGAAGCAACCGAACGAAACGCTTCCATATGACGAATACTATCAGCTGTCAAAAATGTGGTAGAACGTGAATTCCCTGTTGCGATTCGGTAGGGGCCAAGAATTAGACCTCCTAATGTAAACTCGATCATTATGCCGCCCATATGTAGAAACATAATGTTTCCAGAGTGTTGTTTCTGATTATAAGAGTATGCGTGAGGTCGAAACAGCATTAAAATTTGGCAAGAACCTATTCGAACCATTTTGGCAACGCTCAACGATGACAGGGAAGAAAGAAAGAAGAACCTGTTTTAATACGGTTTAATGGCTCTGCCGGCGTAAGTCAGACATAGCGAAGAAATGTTATGATCACTGTACACAGCTAAAAAAAGTAGTGTAAATTTCCGTTACTATGATGCACATAAATGGAGCGTCATATATCATACAAGTTTAGAATATAGATCGTGTAAATTTATGAGACATGTCATGGAATATTCCATATATTGTATGCAAGTGTCCACTTTTGTTTGCAACATTTCTTGCAAGCTGCTAGTTTACGTGAAAAGGAAGTTTACATGTATGAATGTTTGCATACATGGATGTTTACATCGCCAGTAAAATTCAGTAGTTTTTGGTGTGTACGTCATCGCTATTTTGGGTTCAGTATGGTAAACTCGGTGCGATCAGAGAATTTGGGCAATTAATCGATTAATCGTCGCATTGCTACACGGTAAAAAGTTGTCACATCTTATCCAAATGTGACTTGACTTAGTCTGTCATGCGGCACTACGAATCGAAGTGATTTATCATTGATTTTCAAGTGATTTGCGTTTTGAAACAAAGTGATTTGTTGTTGAAAAATATATACTGTATAACACCTTTAAATCAAAATGATCATGATTTGAATTGGCAGCACTGCTTTCATCCATTGAATTTGATTAGTTTTGCTTTTGTAAGCAAATGTCAAAACGCACATGCTAAACATTACTCGCGAAGATGGCAAGTCTACAACAAGAGAAGCGAGAATTCTTCATTTCCACCAGAAATAATTTGCATTCTAGAGCGTGAGTATCATGAAATTGATGCTGTATTCAATGATAGTGTATAATAGAACCTCTATTACAAAACATTGTCAAGCTTATCAAATTTATTGCAGAATGTTTCGTCTTGCTTCTACTACAAACCTTGAAATGTTGTTCAATATCACTTAGAAACATGTAATCTGGGTAGTAATATGATACATGTTCTATGGTCATATTTTGAATAACATATAACATGGCTTTTAGTATGAACAATGCAATATATTTATTTATATATTAGATAAATTAGTCAATCTTAAAGTGATAGATTGTTAATATCAGTATGGTTGACATTTCGAGTTCAAAGCACAGCACATAAACAACGATGTGCAATACAATCTAAAATGAAGTGATTTGCTCTTGATTTCATCGTGCTTCGATATGATCTCTTCCAAGGGATCTGCACATCAAATTGCAATGTTTGGCAAGTAGTACAAATTCAACAGCAAATCATTTTACATGAAAATGATGGTTTTTACCATGTACGACGTTTTGCTTTCAAATTACGTTCTTTTAAAAATAAGCATATCCGCAGTGATTCTATATAAAGATTCGGCTACTTTTGGACACAATCGCCAATTATAAAATATTATTAGCTTAAAGAATAAATATATTCCTGCTACTAGTAGTTACTAGGGTTTCCATAATTCCCGGGTATCTTTTACCCGGGAATCGGGATTTTAAAAAAGTGGGGGCGGGAACTAAACAACTACGCTTAAAAATTTGCATTCAAGTTTGTTGCAAATATGTTCGGATATTGAGGAAACACGATCATGGTGTTAGCAAATAAATTAACTTGTAAATGCAATCTTAAATGATGACCTTAACAAAATCAGGTCTGAAATTTTGAAAATGCAGCTAACTAATATGCACCATAACATTCTGTAACAGTTCCCCGTTGATTTGGTAAATCAAGCTCCTTCTGCATTATTTAGTTTTTTTTTGCCGCTGATGTACCGGCTCCGGAGAATGCTTGGAGGGAATATTTAAGTTCCTATTCATGAATTAGATCGAAGACGTCATATCGTGGAAACTGACAACATTGCCAGTATCGAAGTAACTGATACAACAGCACTGCGCTCTAGCGAAGGTTGAAGCAACGCATCGAAAAATTCGCAAATACACCAACCTTTCTTCTGAGAATGGAATCTTTGCTATCAAATTCGATCGGAGCATTTAGCTTTGCGCGGCAGATGACGCGATTGTGCCTGTTTTATAGTAGTCGTATGAGCAAACGGGAGAGTTGCCAGTCTTTTTGATATGTGTCTGCGGCTAGATCCAAAGGATGCAGTGCTATTTTCAGATATTAAAGGAATAGCATAATGCTACGTAGAATTTGTATTGCATGTACAGTTGATGAGTTTACCCTATGTCAACTTTTGATGTTTCAATACGAATTAATTTTAATGACTATCCTTGTATGGAAAATCTGTCAGATGTTCGACTAGAATCAACTTAACTCGGTCCGATTTCAGCCAAAATTTGACAAATCTTCTATAGAGGACGGGGAGAGTATCCTGCGAGTAGCCAATGATTTTTTTTTTAATTCAACATAGATTTCGTGCTTTTAGGTTTCGGAACCAACAATGACAAGCTGATGATCGACGATTGCAAAACACTTGCTTTATTACTTTTCTATTCTATCGAAGCAACCAGATGACTCCGTGCGTTACGATTAAATGAAGAAGAAGTCCACCAAGTTTGCCAAGAGAGAATATATATATATATATTAATATTGTGAAATAATAATTTATTTAAAAAAAATGCAACTTAAAAAAGCTTCAATTGCTTGTGTGAACTTTCCAAATAAAAATCCAAAACTAATATTAATTGATTGTATCCCCTATGGATATACGCGATACATGATTTGAAATCCTAGGGCTTATATAAGCAGTGATCAAACGGATTAAACTGTTCTTGTCCAGTTTTGACCATCGTTTAGAACATCAATTCTCAACGGGGCAACTGTTCAATCTCGTTTAGTGGGGGTTCACCCCCGCAGGTTGAAAATAGAAGGAAAGCGTCGATCGAATGTTCCAAATTCTAGCAATTATTGTTCACCTTTAGAAAAACACATTTGGCGGAAAGCTATCCCATGTAACAAATCTAGAGCTGGTTGGTTATATTAAAAAGGTATAAAGGTTTTATTGCAGCTGCAACCATTACCTACAGCTTTATGACGGTCATTTACAATGCAAATCAAGGAACATTCTTATAGCTATCTACAAAACCCCTATAAAGCTTATAAAAAAACCAACTGATGCTTCTGCTATTTTCACTTATGAAAGGGTTTATGATTGCCTTGAAGTATAAAAAAAAAACAATATGAATTGCCCTTATAAAACCCAAAAATAAATTCTTATATTGCTATACAAGTAAGCGCAATAAAACTAGTTGGCCATGAAACAGTTATTTTAAAACAATTATAAGCATTCAGTTGCAACTTGTCAGAAGTGTAAATGGGCGGTTTATTTTTACAACATAGAAAAGAATCAAAACTTTCCGGTACTTCAAAGCGGAGCGCAAAGAAAATCAACAAAATTGTTAGCATGAGCCCGTTTATTTGCTACAGTCAGCCGCAAACCTTCGTGAATAACTCCAACCAAAAAAAAAAATGCCGCTGCATTTTCTGCGGATGTCACAAAGGAAGCTGTGAAGAGTGTGCCTCCTCTCCATTCTGAACCATCTTCACTTCGAATGGACACATTGCTACACCAAAAATGACTCATGAAGAGGAAATATATAATATTATCTGGAGTCGGAGGATGATACCTACGCCCACTTGCGTAAGAAAAACGTCAGCAATCTCTGTAATTCTTCCGTTCTCGCTCGCATATACATGGGGTGACACTGTCGAATCTCGGTCGAAATACATGGAATGGTGACAGTTCTAGGACAAAAAAGTTCAAACTTTTCCAAATGTTTATAAAATTCATCGGTTGCACCCGTAGAATAGGAATATACATTTGCCCTCAAATAAAAAAAAATAATTGCTCTTGTAAAAAGAAATTAGTGCTCGAAATAAAATCATGCGTTATGCTTTGCTGTTCTGCTGTCATCCAATGTAAGCATTAGACATTTTAAGAAATTGCGCTTGGTGTTTTTCTTGCCTACTGTCCTCTGTCGGTATTTTGTAATTATGAAAATGACATTAGCCTTGGAATAAAATCCAAGAAATTTCAATAAAATAATGGCTAAATTAGAGATCCGAAATGATTTCCAGTGCGCATTGGTATGAATTTATTTATTGAGATC